ATCAACTTGCTCTTTTTCGGGAAGTGCACCACTCACAACACGATATTAACAGCGAACCACGAGGGCACAGTTATCGCACTGACTGAAGCAAGTCCAGAAAAGCGGGAATCGGTGCGCACATTTAAATTTCCGGGGAGCGTTGGGGAAGTGAAAGTATCAGTTGACAGCGCATGTGTCCTGAACAATGAAAAAAGAAAAGAGGTTCGACCTGATTTAAAACCCGACTTGGTGAGTATACACTGACACACACACACTTCTTTCCCCCTTACTCCTAATAAAAATACTCCTCTTGTTTTCAAAAATTCATTCCCACGCCTTCTCCAAATCTTCTCCAAGCAATGAACTACGCTAGTCATTATTGATGAATTTTTATTGAGCTAAAATATTGTTCTATTTCAGGGTCAGTTAATATCCTGTAAAGCGTCCGACATTCTACTGGACAAGACCAAGGACGGTCAACCTTTTAAGCTGGGCAGCGGCTCGTTCGGGGCGGCTTATAGGGGCGTCCACGTTCCTTCGGGCAACCGCGTGGCGGTGAAATTCTTCCAAAGCGGCGCCATCACCAGGCAAAGAATCCTCACCGAAGCTGCGGTGTTGCAGTATGTCGACGGGTCGAGGCTGGCCCCTAAGTTCTACGGAGTGGCGGTCTACGAGAGTGATCAAATTCCCGAGGCTAAAACCGGCGGGTTTAGGCCTACGTCCCTGGCGGTGGTGACGGAGTACGTGAGCGTCCGGGAAAATAGCCGCATCTCTTTCACGTATGCCGACTTCACGAAATTCAACAGCTCCCGACGTAACCTGACCACTGTTGACTGGCTTGGGTTTGGTGTTGAGTTGGCAGAAGGCTTGCAGGAAATCCATAATGTGAGTGATTGTCTTCGATCATTTCAAAACTTACTCTCAATTGAACAACAAAAAATTTAAAAAGATAAAACCATTCGCCCATATCAATGTGTTTTTGGCTAGGTTTTAGAAACCGTAATTTTATCATCAAATAAAATTTTATGGTTTTTAGAAACATACAATACGCCTATAATACTGTAGGCCTAAAATGAATAAATAAATAGAGATGGATATAAAATTTATTTCACCATGATAAGATTTTTACAAATCTTATTAAATAATTTCAGATGGGGCTCGGCATTTTCGATATCAAGCAAGACAATATCATGGTACGGCGTGACGGCAAGGGGAGAATTCACCCTCGCATCGTGGACTTTGGGGCGGCGCTTTATCTGAACGACGACAAACCCTATTTCCCACCAGAGACATTCTCTGTGGAGAGACTGCGAGAGCTTCGCCCGAAGTGCTCCCAGCTAGCTCCCGAGGTCTTCCATTTTGCTTCGCGCTCGGCAGCATTAGACATCTACGGCCTCGGCTACGTCTTGAAAGATTTGGCGAGGTATGTCAATATTTGGGGGTTGAGCGAGTTAGCGGCACGCTGCATGGCAGACGATGCAACACGGAGGCCATGTTTACGTGACGTCATTGGTCAGCTGAAGACACTGCTAAAGGAGGAACTGCAGCACGAGCTGACGGCGTCACAACGTTGGGCTGCTTAATGACAACGACTCTCACGAACAATTTCTCAGTCTCTCTTATTTGATTTGTTCGTAGCGATGAGGCGACAGTAGTAAACATGTCAATAATGAAATTTTCTTTTCACACCGCATAAAGAAGCATTCTGTAGTTTTTTTTAGGCTCTACATGTTGGCCTTCTCGTTGTTAGATCTCCGCTTTGATGTATTCATGTCCTTGATTAGTAGTTAAAACTTTTTTCTATGATTTTTTTTTTGATGACCTGACCACCGTTGTCAAGTACAGATCTAGTTCAAGTGGTGAACGTTCATATTTAGCCGTGAGAAGATGACTTGCTTTACGCTTGACTTATGTAAGATACACTCGAGGAGGAACATAAAATGTGTCCTTGAGAATATGCAGTTCTTTCACGTTTAATGCAAGTGCCTTAGGCCTACGCTAGCTAGAAGGAAGTGAAATGTAAAGTATATCGAATTAATACTAAATCAGTATTGTGTCCACAGCAATTCTTGCTTTTGTCTACAAATCAATAAGCATAAATGTTGGTTAAAAGGATTCGAAATACCAAGTATTAATCATGTTTCCGACTAAAAAAAATGCTTTGTCGTTTAAAATGTAATATTTACGTGAAATACTCACTTTTTATTACTGCACTGATATTACTCGGAAACGTATTACAGTTATATTAATTGTATATAATTAATTGTATATAAATAAAAACTCTGACTGCAAATGTAACAAAAAAATAATAAACTGAATAAACATGTATGCCTTTGAAGTAAACCAGAATTATATGTACTTCTCAAACAAAGCTGATTATATTTATTCGGAATGTTTAACTTGAATCTTAAGGAAAATAAGCAATTAAAAATTTGCGACCTATAGTTTGAAGAAGGTACTGTTTAAAACCCCTTTTTTTCTTCTGCTTTAGAGGTAAATTTCGGTCGATCTTCTGCGTGTTAATTTTATTAGCGTTGTGAAGAAACCGGTTAATATAATTTATAACCGATACTTTTCCTCTTGCTTCTTGTCAATATGCATCGTTAAAGCATGGTATTCTTGTTTTTTTTATTGGGACTATGCCTTCGGTTGACATATCTTTACGTACCCATTTATTTAATTGAAATTCAAGGGAATTATTTTTAGGGAAGCAAAAATAACTCTGCACGTGTAGCGCTGCCAGGAGCAAACATTGACAAGAAACAAAACGAATAATCATATTAATTAAATAATATTTATTGGCCTTATTTAATAGTTCATATTCAAATAAATACTTGTAATGATAAACAGTACAACTGAAACCCAATAAAAATTCTGAAAATCATATATGAACTTATATGAAACGAAATGCATCATTTTTTTTACTACATACAGTGTGAATAATGATCAATTTAATACATTTTAACACATCCATTGTAAGAGCTGCAGTCTAAAAATTTACAAAACTTTGGAGAAAAAAAATGCCATTTTTACCCATTTGGTATGTATCAAAACTCCCGTTCCATGCTGCACTTTCAACACTTTCAACATACTCTATATGTAGTGGTTTAGCATTTATTTAAACCATTATACGGTAAAAAAAAAAAAAGAAGTTTTTTTCATAGTCTTTTGTAAGATGAAAGTGACAAGTAAATCACTTCTAAAGAGGATAAAAACTGTCCATATTACTGAAGCATGATGCTACAAGCCTTCATCAAAAGGGATTTGGCTACATGACTGAGTCCTAAATGTGAAGGATTAAAACATACTCACCCATATAGAAACATGTCTTGTCCCTTAACCCCTGCGAAAATTTGTCTCATTTATCATTAACTTATGGTTCTCAATCTATTCTTGAACATTTGGTGCATTTTTTTTTTACAGTACTTATGTTGTTCTGTTAGGAATGTAACAGTTCGAGAACTGTTTTTGGAAAGTCCTTCAGAATGCCCTAGAGCAGATTAAAGGGATAATAACTCTTCGTATGAGATCTATATTTCACAAAAAAAAAAAAAAAAAAAAAAAAAAACATTGTGAATAACTCATAGAAATATAATATATTCTGTTTTACCACAAAAACGGCAGTTATAGCTATTATTCTAATATCTGAGCTTGTCTTTAGACAACGTGACCTCCACTGATGGCTATACTCTGCTAAAATCTGTTTAGAGATTTTAACAAAAAACCAAACTTTTTAGAAAAAAACCAGGGACTAACTTTGAATGTAACAAGGNATAGAAATTAAGCAAACAGTTGACAACAAAAGGGTTCACCAATATAAACCCATTGCATTTTCTTAAAATTTGTATTAAACTTCAAATAATAATTTGATGTCTCTTTCAATAATATATTGAACAAAGTTTCATTTGTCATTAAAATGGTAACTGAAGATGCTTTATCAGTAACTTTTGGCATCAATATCATGCCTCAAGGGTAACTAATTGACCCAATTTTCATTGCTTAACTAGTCTTCCATACATGTTGCTGTTAAAAGAATAAAATCTTAATCATAATTCTGCTCATCTCACCAATACCAAAATGTGTTATTATACATATGGAAAGGCAGGGGCGGATTTAGGCCGTCTTCTGGGTCTTCCGGAAGACGGTCAGATTTTCAAGTTTACATTGACGGGTATCTATTTTTTTCTTTCGGAAGACGGTCAAAAATGGAGGATGGATCAACAAAGATAATTTGGAAGACTGTCAGAAAATATCTCTGGATCCGCCCCTGAAAGGTCTTACACCTGCAGGATATTCTGCCTTAATGATAAAAGTAAGGATAGTCAACACAGGACAAATTTTACAGCCCTATACACCTCATCATTCATTTATGCTGAAACACTACCAGTATGCCTTAGACTTACAATGTCAGCCAAAAGACATTGTGCTACGACTACTGTGCCAAGCCCATGAAGATTTCAGCGGGTTCCGTATGCCCAAACATTGATGGTTCACCCAAGTATCTGTGAACAGCTAGCCGATGTTTTTGAGATGTTTGTCATAAATTAGCAAACATTGTCCCCAAATGTTTTGTAATTGTTATTCCAAAATTTCAGAAATGGATTTTAAAAATTGTACATAAACAATCTCTTCTAGATGTCTAATAGCCTTCATAAACATGCAGATTTTTAATCTAACAAAGATTCATATAATATAAGCTACAACTAATCAATATGGCCAAAACTTGTTCAGATCCGTGACTGAGTCGAGAAAGACGGGATCCTGCATCAGGCTGCTCAAAATTTCTCAATCATTTGAGTATAAGGTTCACGCAATCATCAACTTCAAAACTTTCCTTGTACACCTGAGTTCGATCTACTTACCTGGTCTCATCAATACAAACAAAAATGAAGGAGTATTACAGTTACTTTCGAGACTGTTTCTTAAGGCAGTACAAGCGCACCTGTTTTCCTTTCAACGATGTCAAGGTCGTTGGCTCATGATTTTGCACGCTAGGGGGCAGAACTACGTGGTTTAGCAAGATGTCCGGAGGAATCGTTTCGTCAAGAGCACCGACGCCAAGAACAGGCCATGTAGCAATTGCATATGATCACTACATGTTCGTTTGGGGTGGCTACCAAGTAGGTTATATCATATATATTTATTATATGAACTAGACGATACAAGAATAGTGCAAACACATAAATTTGAACACACTGTTAACTTTACTTTAACACATGCCAGTGCTGCTGTCACTGTCACCTTGACTTGAAATAATGAAGAGTTTATAAAACTTTTAAAACGTTCTCAAAACCTTCTTTGTTTATCCCCAAATATATCAAATTTTGGTCTTATTTAAGTAAATAAGAAATTATTATTTACGACTTGCCCTGAAGTAGACTTTCAGTTCATATAATATATGATATTCAATTCATTGGTTTAAAATTAGACACAAATTTAGTGAAGTGATAAACCTACCAGTAAAATGTCCACTATTTTGAGCATAACATCCCACATATGCAAACCCATAACCTCTTCTCATGTCACATGTTTTCCTTGTCTCATGTCTTATTTCAGAATGAACTCACAGAAAGATACTTATCACCAGATGAACTGTGGATATATGATTCTTACTTGGATAGCTGGTGAGTCAGAGTGGTGATTGAGGTTTTAAATAAAAAGAATTTTATGCTTATTCGTTATAGCCAGTATTTTATTTGTTGATTGCTAGGCTTATGGTAATTTTCTTTACATGCTGTTAAGATATTTTTTTTGTCTTGAAAAGAATTGTTTTTCACCAATAGATACATATGTTACAGTAATGTTAATTTGAAAAGAACTTGGCTAAAACCAAAACGACATGTGTGACTGTGTAATATAGTTCCTAGCATGAAAATTCATGCGTTAGCACTCCTATTGACGATTGTGATATGTACTTGCTGTGCTAACGCATGAATTTTCATGTATATTGTTCCCAGTGTATGACAACATGTTTTATATGAATGTAGACCCTTAACATGATGTAATATGGCCTTGAAATTGTAAATGATGTGACAAAATTATCACAGTTTAGAAGTACCTACCCTCTACCAGGTTGGCAGATATTACAGGCACATTTTCCACACTGTAACTTTTGGGCAGATGGAAGCAATTCCTGAGTAGTTATGCAAAAAAAATACCAGCCATGTTATCAACCTAGAGATTTCAGCACAGGGTCACAGTTAGAAGATTGACGGTATTTAGACAGAGACATTATTTGTGAATATCTAGTGAAAAATCAATCTGTGGCCCTGCCAAAGGGTAAGAAGTACCCATCAGAGTTGACGACTCAGTCCTGCAAGTCAATTACATGTAGCATTTGGTGATGCTTTCTCCATAGTTTAATTTATACTGTATTTATCTTATGGAAATAGAAACTCGATTTAAAAGATTTATTTCATTTAGGCAATTGAGAATCCTAGAACCAGAAGAAGACACTTCAATCAACTGCCCGCCAGGTACATCTGGAGCATCAGCTGTGTTAAAAGGAGATGCAGTATACTTGTTTGGTGGCCACTGTTATGCTGGAAACACAAATGAACTGTATAGACTTAATCTTCAGGAATTTTGCTGGGAGTATGTCCATTCAAACAGTTTAAAGCCAAGCCCAAGAGATAAATTATCTATGTGGGAGTATGGAAACAGGTATTTTTATTCATCATCACCACCATCATCATTCATTGCCATTGGGTCACTGACAACAAATAATGTTGACAGCAGGATTTTGATAGACTATTATTATTATTATTAATTTTTTTAATGGATGTTTGTCCATGTTTATCTTGAAATATTTTAGCCATGTGTGACATAGAATTATTTTTTTAGGAAAAAATAAGAATTTAGTCTTGTACAGACATTTGAAAAATGTGAATACACATGCAACATAGTAATCCACTTATTATTGTATGTTTTATTAATTTGGTATTTAAAGCTAAATTTTAACTTTTTGATTATAAATATCTTTTAATTGTCGGTATGATCCTTTTGCTGTTCATCATTTTTATATAATTATATATTTTTACTATTTTTAAACCCTGACAATACCTCTATTTTACAGTTGGTTAAACAAATTGTTTACCCTCAACTTTTCAGCTTGTATGTGTTTGGTGGCTTTGGTCCTCCTCTAGAAGGTTATCTAAAGGAACATGGAATCTGGATCCCAGATGAATCCTCAGTAAATACATTGGAATACTTATGCTTTTTATGCAAGTTGAATATAGAATTATAGAATATGGGAGTTAAATCAAGTAGATTTATATGCAACTTAAGTTATGGAATATACACTGTAGTTAGTGTACCTCCTAGTATTTTGTACCTGTACTTCCATCAAGCACCAGCTTTGACTTATCAAATTTTTGCCACATCTCCATCAGCATTCTTATTTCATTCATTTAGTGTCCTCTGGTTGGGTGTTTTCCTTCAAGATGTCAAAGTGAGGAAATCAAATAGATTGATAAAAATTTCTAACATGTAATTTTATTGTTTGGATACGACTTTCTTATGTTATGTTATGATTCAAGTCAATAACAGAAACTTAACCCTTTCAGTCTTCCTACAGAGGTTGGAACAACCAACTACTGGATTTTGACCTGAAAACACGAATGTGGTCAAATCCTAAATGTAGTGTAAGTATCAAGCCACTTTGTTTTCATGGTAGGAAAGTACTTATTAGGTCAAAATTCCATTCATTTCTCTGTGTTTTTTTTTTGTTTTTTTTTTTTTTTTTTTTTTTTTTTTTTTTTTTTTTTTTTACAAATGTTATATACAGTATTACATATAATATCTAACATTTAAAAATATATACATTTCAAACCATAACTTAAAAATGGTCTTATTATTACCTCCGCCAAGGAGGTTATGTTTTCACCCCTGTTTGCCTGTCTGTTTGTTTGTCACCAGCATCACTCAAAAAGTTATGGACCGATTTTGATGAAATTTTCATGAACTGTCAGAAGTGGGCCAAAGAAGAGATGATTAATTTTTGGTGGTGATCCGGATCAATAATTGATCAATAATCAATAATAATCACGAATCGCTGCCTTGGCAGAGGTCTGTGCTCTCGGAGTGCTTTTCTAGTTAGAACATGACTACTTATACCTCGCCTTTTTTGTTCAGGCTCATACTTTCTTGTCTGACTAATGCTAATTTAAAATAAACGTCAGGTAATTAAGAGAAATTGTGATGTTTTTGTGTTTTGTGAATAGTGTGTGCCACTTTGTATTAAACATCACATTTGGTATGGCTTGAAAGTCTCTCTTATTTCTTATTTTTGATTCAGAGATAATTTTGTATCAGATGTTTTCTTATTAACACAGGGTCCAGTGCCATCACCAAGAGCAGCTCACGCTGCTACAAGAGTGGGGAACAAAGTGTATTTGTTTGGAGGAAGGCACTGTAGTCAGAGACTGAATGATTTGCATTGCCTTAATTTAGACACAATGACTTGGTCAGGAAGGTACAGAGTTGTGATCTCAAACTTTGTTTTTGCCTAGCTTTTTTTATGGGAAGGCCATGCTTAATTAGAATAAAGTAGTACTATTATAAAAAAACATACTTAAATCAATAGCTACTTTGCCTAACTTGAACGATTTATTTAAACAATATCTTATATATACAAGTTTAATTACTATTTGTCACCCGTCACTGTACTTTCTCATAACATTAAAAAGTCAATGAATTTCTGTCTAGCATCTGATTCGTGGATTTCAATTAAGACATGATCAGCATCTTTTGATAAGCTTATAAGTTTGTATCCTCTCTAATTTCAGCCTCCATACTGGTGGTAGTATTCCAGTTGGGAGATCCTGGCACACTTTTAGTGCTGTTTCCAGTACTGAAATATTCCTGTATGGTGGATTCACCCAGGATAATGATACCTTATGTAAGTATTGTTTTATTTTTATTTTCCGTTTAATATGGGTGTGGCCACAGTGACTTACCTTACTTGATAATGCAGATTTAGTTCACTTTATCAAAAATGTTAAGTGGCTATGTTATTTGTTAAGATGCAAAACCAAATGATCCTAGAGGAATTTGATAGTGGAAATGAAGTATTTTATTGTTTTAACCAAAATCATTCCTATGCATCCTCAGAATGACCACCGTGAAACCTTGAAATTAGATTGTATTTTGTCTCCATTTTTTTTTT